TGATGCAAATAGATTTGTGTAAAATTTTCTACATTTACTCGCCATGTTTGTTCGGTCCTTACAGGCGTCCATTCCTCTTCTTAAGCGCCTCTACCGTAGGATATTACAGCGACAGCTCCCCACTGTATTTTCTTGAGCCCTACTGCCGCTACCTTCTCCCGACAGTTACGGTTCTCGAGATTCCTCTCAAACTGCCATCTGACATGTCGGCACTTACTGCACACAGAGCTGCGATAATTACGGCCTTTAGTGCTGGCAGTGTCCTTCCGAAGAATATTTGGATGCGGTTTGATGTATGCCTGATTAGATTGATTAAGAAGATAACGAAAGAAACGCACCCCTTCTGATAATTGCAGCACCGTCCGCAACCTTGCTCACTCGTCCTGTTCGGAGTACGGTGCTAAAAAAAATCGCTTCAAACAGCCTTGACCTAATCTCGTTAGGGTTGAAAATCATGAGTTCAGTGATGCTCTCGCTGATACACGCGCCCTGACTTTATCATCATCCTTGATTTGAGTAATTTTCGATCAATTGCTGTGTAACATTCATTTGTAGCTGAAAATTTTTTACTCACAACTCACAAAAAGGCGCCAATTTTTCGCGCCAATGACATGTAATTTTGAAAAAAACTAAAGTATTCAGAATATATAAAATCTTTACTTCTTTTAGTAAAAGATTACATGTATTAGTGCATTGGTTCTGTGACACAGCCTGCACTTGATTTTAAAAAAATTTGAAATTTCCGACAGAAATAGGTTGAAAACATCTGGCAGAGAGGGTTCAGAAGCGAGCGAGGGTGCGGGTGCGTGAAGGGAGTGAGGGAGGGGAAGGTGCAAGAGGGAGGAAGTGAGGCGAACTGAAAGATGTGGAAAGGTTGACCAGTTTTTTTTTTTAAGAAAAGGAGCGTCCTTTCATCGACAGACTGATTGAAATGCCGACTTCTTTCGACGTATAGCTTTCGCATAAAAGCTGATCATCAGCAGGAGCAATTTTGATTCCGAGAGCGGCTTTCCTACAGCCACAGCATAAGCACATGTTTGTCTTTTGGCGCTGCAAAATTAAGCCTTTAGCACTATCTACTGTCCGTGTATCTAGGCAGAAGTAAGCGACGTATGAAACAGTAACAAAATCAACTTAAGGAACAGGAGCAAACTTGAAGTTTGTTAATCCAAGT